TAATTAGAATACATTGAAATTGTCCTTCAGTTCTCTTGGCAATACCATACAGACACAAACTCAATTATACATCTGTGAATGGACCAAAATCTTCTAGAATTTGTCCAGCCATGTCTTCACAGAGAGCAGGTGTGTGTGCTGCTTATTGACTCACACAGACCCTTCATATTTTATGATGATGGAAGTGGGTCAGTAGGGCCTCTGCTTTGAGTGTTCCCCCCTCCACTAGTGATCACTGAACTGTGACACATAGTAAGCAGCAGCACTAATCAAGTTATCTGGTACTCTATGTAGTTGGCCAAATAGTAGCAGCAGATAATTCATGTAAAAGATAAATAAAATGTACTTTTGTGCAAACCGAAGCTCACCATGTTGAAACCAATTCAAACTCTGGGTAAACTGCATAGCCAATTCCCAGGATTTTACCCGAAGGTCATGTCTGAAAACTGGTTATGTTGATTTGTTTTTGAGATATGTGATCCACAAACAGAAAGTCAGAGAAGGAAAGTGATGTCTGCAGGAGGGAAATGAGGGCCGACCCGAATGATCCTAATCACGGCGCCAAATCCTGCCCACCCAGAGATTGTGTGATGGAAAACCAAAGGCTCTACGATTGGTCCCAGCCTCCCAGTTAAATATAGGCCTCAGTGCCCGATGGGAAAGAAATCTCTCTCTACTCTGTGAGCAAACAGGAAGGCAGCTTTTACTACGTTTACGCTCTGAACTGATATTTTCCCCACAGATTTCCAGAGGCCCAGTATAATTTCAGTGAACACAGCGTGTTCCCACTGTGCCACAGGGAGGGGATCTAAATTAATTCTTGACAATGGGTAACAAAATACTCACGTCAATTACAGCATCCCAAGCCTAAAAAGATTATTTGTTGTTGGCACTGATCTAACTCAGTTACAGTGCAGTGGCACCAAATGAGTTTGTGCTTTTTTCATTAATCACATTCTGAGCTGTGTACTAGAGACACAGGAGGAAAGCTCATTTATGTTGTGATTGGATTATGCAGCCAACCAAACAAATGTCATGGCAGAAAACCAACTCACTGGTGGAAAATATCACAAATGTGATTGATGATCCAATGTCTGACTCCAGGCTGTTTAGTTTTACAAGTGTAAAGTTTTGTTGCATATAAAATGTTTAATCTGTTGCACATAAGGACAAGAAGCTGGAACTCAATACGATGCAGCAGATATTGATTAGCCAATGTATGTTTTTTGGGAAGTTTTTGCTTCTCCTCAGTTTCTTTGATAGCAACGTGGCCCCTTGTTTTTGTGTGCGAGACGAGCATTTTACTTTTTAACCACACTTGTGGTTTTGAAGCTCAGATTTACAGCCTATGTGGTTTCCATAATCTCTACTTAAGATGTGTGTGGGACTGTGTGTGTCTGTCTGTCATCAGGTACCTTTGGGGACAAATTTCACTCAACTATATCTAACCTTTGGGTCAGTGGTTATGGTTAGGCAAGTTGTTTTATGGTTAGGGCAAGTCTCCTGGTTCCAAGTGTGTTTTTTTTTGTCAAAGGTCATTTGAGGTAGTTGTTGAGCAATAGACTTGCATCCCAGAATCCCTGATTGGATCCCATCATAACATCAGTATCTGTAGCATAACATAATGTGCATCATTGGGGGAAAAAGGCCATATTTCAAGCACAAATGTTAAAGTATTTCCTAGTTCCTGAACCTTTCAGGTGAAGCTCATGTGTTCAAACTCGAACCTCATCTACTGTGAAGGTTGTAAACAGTTGGAATATATTTTTGCATACACTAAGCAAAGCAGAGGAAGTAGGCGGGTTTTTAAATTTCCCTTTAGTGGCAGCAAAGTGTGGACTCACCAGAAGTTTTGCTACTTTTCCTATGTTGTGGCAGAATATGTCTTCAGTCAATTGAAGAAAAACTGGTTCTATCCCAACGAGCGAGCAGAAGCTGAATTGATGGGGCTTTCACCCCACAGGCAGATACTTGGTCAGTGACACACACGCATTTCTCATGTTGCATTTACACCTGGATGAATGGCTGAGACCCAGTCGCTCTGTCCGGAGGCTGTCTGGAAGGTGTTGTACCATTTCACTTGTGCTCGTGCACTTTGAAGTCATATAAATTCTTATACACAGTTTATTTTGTCATGTTTAATGAATCTTCCAACTATTTCCAAAATTAATTGTTTGGTTTTAAAATGTCAGATAAAGGGGAAATTGCTCATCACAATTTCCCATAGCCCCAATTTGAAATTAATTGTTCTTGTTTGATGAACAATCCAAAAACTTGAAGATCAATTGACTAAATGTTTTAATGTTATAGGTAGTTTATGAAATGCATCTCAGTACTTTGCTATTTATTGTACAATGCTGTATCACTGCTTTGTATAAATAATGTGTGTGAAATACCAAAACAGCAAAACTTAAGCCGACTCTGTTCTAATCTGATGCAGTGTCGTGTAGTTGTGTGTTGTAAGGAAGCTTCTGTGCCCACTGACTGTGGGAAGACCATCAAAGCTCCAAGTGTTATGTAAGTAGAGCCTCTAGCAAGCTGAACGTCAGGATGGAGACATTGTATGTCTCTATACTGACGTCTATACATGCTGTCTGTCTTCATCTGTGTCTTCTTCTCTCACTACTGAAAGTGCAGTGTCTGTTTCATTTATATCACGTGGGCTATGGGAGCCACCTAGAAGAATGCAGGACACTGATCAGTTTGGATGCACAGAGCAAGTGAAAAAAAAAACCGACCAGACAAAAGAAGCATTGTTTGCACCTCTTGATACAACAGGCTGGGATCTGCAGTTGTTTTGAAAACCCTAGTACAGTGCCGTTCTAAACCTGCCTGTTTGGAATGGGCCATTTAATTTTTTGGCCTGTGGTAATGCTATTTTATCTGATACTCTGCAGTGAGTAAAGACTGGTTGCAGAACCCCGGGGGCCACCGCTGCTGCACAGAAAGCTGCTCACCTGTTTATTCAAAGTTCAGTGAAGCTTGAGGATCACTTGTTTCTGATGTTGTCATCCAAATTGCACTTCCTTCGCTTAACAGGAATACGCATGCCAAGAGGGAAGCCCATAAGATGGAACAGTTCCCGATATGTGTTCCACAGACAGACATTTCTGGAATTAGTTGATGGATTGTTTGAGTTTGTTGAAGGAGGGCATGTTTGCGTAGGAGATGCACACTTTGCTTGTTGAAATAAAGTTTTATAGTGGGGTACAAAAGTCTGAGTTCACTTGAATGTGATCTGTAATTGTGCTCATAAATTGCCGGCAGAGAACAAACATGTGTACCTGGTTGTAGGCTACACTGACAGACAAGTGTGTTTTCTTTCTCACACACCCTGCCCTGCCCTGCACAGGGCTTCAGCGCCCCAGGCACTCAGTCTGTGAGACTTTTAGTGAATGTTGAACCAGTATTTTCTGATCTGGTAAATGATTTTGTGTGTTCTTTGTTGCTCTTACCTAAGGATGTAACTGTGAGCAATATTTACTGACTGTCTTAGTAACTCACTCTTGGGCTCCTCTGACCCACTGGAATGAATTGAATTCATCTGAGTTTGAAACTCTGCGTTCTGAGCAGAGTAACAAGAACAAACTGCACTGCCCCACAGCTATGTTCTGATATTTGAATTTGACGAGCAGTATGACGTGATGGAAAATTGATGCCTGGCTCATCTGTAGTTTTAACCTTGTAAACTTAGATTTTGTCCCCATGCCATCCCCTTGCAGGGATAGTGACTCTCTGCTCAACTGTCCTTACAAAGCCTCTGGCTCTTCTTTTACTGGTTGTTTGAAACTGTTCCTCTCAGGCAGTTCAGTACATGTAGATGCATGGTCTACAGTTGGATACAGATATATATACAGATATGTGTTGTTGGCAAAGGGGTCACAGTAACTTCAGTCGTATTATCATTTTTCAGGCCATTTGCCAAACTCCTCATAATTTGTCATTATGAGGACATATTTGTATATGTAACCCTCAACCAACAAGTTGACTTTTAGACATCTCACTTACATTGTTATAAGACAGCTGGGTGGATGTGTGTCATTGTCCCTGTACTGGTAAAGTTTGATGAAATCTTTGACACACAAAACTATCACAATAATGACCATGTCTGATTATAACTAATAATTAGCTCCTGACTTAGTGAAATATTTCTGTTATAGTTATATCATCCGATATGCATATTAAAAGTTTTAGCAATGCTATAAAGCCATTATAACAAAGAAATGTAATTGAAGCTTGATTTTTTTCAGTTTATCCATATTCTTATCAATAACTATATATGAAAAGATAATAGTGATAAGAATTATTGCTCGTACTTCGTGGTCTATTGCCATTGCAACAGTTAAAGCTTTGTCGCCCTATGGCACACGCATATCTGATGGTACCACTGCGTGTTTACATTCCTTCTGCTTGTTTTCAAGGACTGTATGTTGGCTCTTTGGTTTGTGACTGGGAAAGCCCAGGAGAGAAGTGTGTCACACACAGACACATGCAGAGACTCTTGAGTCACGGAGCACAGAGCACCACATCTGCAACTATTTCACTTTAGTGATAATTACAGACCAATTGAGTTATTGAGTCATCAGACCATAACTGGAAGATTAATTAGCGATAAAAGTTGCTTGCCGCAGCTTTATTTTGAAAGTGATGAAGTCGTATCCCTGACTGTTGCACCTTTTTGGCAAGTTGGGTTTGTCAGACCCACAGGATGCAGAGGAAAGGTGCTGCCCCGGTCATGTGCCCAGAGAAAGCCAGTAGGAGCAGGAGGTGGAGCGATGACGAAGGCACATAATTGGCTCTTGGTAGGAGTGTGTAATCCTCTGGGGTTAGAACAAGGGGTAGTGGCAGAGAGCATGGTGCACACATACATGTACAGTACGTGCCTTGCCTTGATATACTGCTGCTGAGCACAGGGTCACTGACAGGAACTCTGTGGTCGTGTCTCCAAACCAAACAGCTGTTGTTTTAACAGGGGATGTCCCTCTGTTCCAAGTTTCTAACAGGAAGTTTGTTCTCTCTCCTCCAGCGACAGATAAAGCACTTGTCCCCTCCTCTTCATCCACCCTCCCCTGCACGTCTCTGGAGTTATTCTGCTTGACCTAGTTGAACGACACGCTGACGAGTGCACACAGCCTGCAGAGAAAGCACAGCATGGTCAGATCATTTCAGTTCAGTCTCTCATGTTATGAGGGACCACACAGCACCATGTCGTGTAAGCTGTAGGTAAATTCAAATGGAAATAAGATTGACACAGTTCAGTTCAGCAGGATGATGGAAGTAGTTTCAATAACAGCTCCAGAGAATGGATCGTTGCCGTGTTGCCTGTTTCTCATTTCTGAGTGTTGGGCTCCTCTGCCTCTGTGGGTGTGGCCCTGTGACTCATAGCTGCTCGGAGTATGGGAGAGTCAAACTTTACAACCTTCATGGTTCGTGTGTTTCCACTTGCGGTTGGATTGAAGTGAGGAGGGTAGATTTGTTTTCAGCCTTGCACAACTTTAGGATTTTTACTTGACTTATTTTTTCAATTTGACTTTCAGATTCACATTGTGTCTATTGTTTTTAAATCGTTTTCTGCCTTTTTTCTGAGTGAGTCACTTCCTGTCAGGCCCTATGCCAGTTGCCAGGAACAAGCTCTGTCTGCTGCTGTGTTTTTTTCTTGTCTATATTAAACAAATGAAAAACTCAAGTTCTCTTGCTGAACATGACACAAACGCACACCAGGAAAAACTGCAGGATATTCCCATTTAGTACTGATTCGAGGCTGACCGTCACTTGAGGTCTTTTGTCTCTAAAATAGATTTCTGTGGATCAGACCTGCGTTTCAATACCTCCTTACATCAAACTCCTTCTTTTCTTTTCTATCTCCCCCACTTTCCTGTCTCTCTCAGCTCCAGCTACTCCACAGCAGCGTTAGAGTTTGAGAAGGAGCACCAGATTGCTCCTGTGTACGAGTCGCCCAGGATGTCACGGCGGAGCCTGCGTCTGCAGACCAGTGCCGGTCACTATGGCAACGAGAGCCTGGCCGATCATCATCCGCAGAACCACAGCAACAGCACCAGCAGCTACACCAGCACCAGGAGAGAAACACGGTGAGACTAACGATGGGTACTATCTCTCCCGCATGTCGGCCAACCAGAGAGTATCAGTAAATGTTCTGCATTTTTATCTCTGTCTTTTGGTATTTGGGTTTATATCATTGTAGCGGCTTCAACCTGCCTCTGTCATACTCCTCAACACGCACCAATACTCACATCTCTACTTGTTTCCTGTCTCTGTTCTCCCAGGACACTGCGTAGCAAAAAGCAGCTGACCAGCTCCAACTTACTGTCTCTATCTCTGAGCCAAGCAGCCACACCGAGGAAAGCCCTCTCCTTCTCAGCTGTTAGTACCCCGATCAACAGCGGCAGCATTCAGGAAAGAAACACGGTGTCCGACGCCTCCCTGCACAGCTCCATCCAGGACCAGTCCCTAATGAGACGACGCACCATCACCACGACCACCACCTCCATGTCTGTGGGTGGTCACTGGGGTCAGTTGAAGAACATAGTGTTCAGACCTGGTATTAACATCCGTCCTGAGAGAGTGGTGTCAGGAAGGACTGAATAAATTACAGACTTTTACCAATTTAAGAAAAGTATCAATCATGATGTGGTGGTCAGGGTTCACAAACAAATCAGCATATCGAAAAGAGTAAGAATACGTGTGGCCCAGGATGGATCTAAGTTCACACTGCGTATAGAATGTGGCCACATGGCTGCCTGAATTTAAAGCAAATGCAGAATGTACAGCTGAGGTTTCTCACTGTATCCTACATTCAAAGTATTTGAACTTGTTATTTAGTCAATAAGTAATTCTTGTTTGTTATTGACATAGCTTAATGGTCTTAGTTTCCTGTAGAGAGTTGCCTGCAGGTTTTCCGTGAAGCCTGTATAACAACTCATAATGGGCCATATAGCATTGCTGAACTAATGTTATCATTATCTGGCTCGTCTCAGTCATTCTTAATTTCCTGGTAAAAATTAATTTCCATGGTAAAATTACAAAGATTAGAAACCGTTAGAAAGTAGCACAATCATAAGCACTAGTTTGAGAAAGAAATCTATTACTGTTGTAATATCTCTTAACGAAAATTGAACAAACTGCTATAATGAGTATTGATGATATATAGCAGTACGATCACTGCTGCTTCTTTAACAAATGCAGTTATGAGTTCATTTTACTTCATAGTACTTAATTGTAATTATATGCAGATACAGATTTCAGATTATAAATTAATATGTGCAAGACAATGCATTGTTATATAGTTAATTAAACCACACAGATTTAGCTCAGTACAACCCCAGCAGTGTATTTTCTTTCACATTCATTTGTGGCTTTAATACTTTGTGAATTTAACTTTTTGCCTTTTTTCTTGGTCTTTTCTTCCAAAATAATGTTCTCTCATTTATCCGCGTACATGCTGTTCTCCCTCAGGGAAGAGCTCCAGCACCGACCACTGCTCATCAAACGTAAACGGCGACGCCAGCATTTCAGAGTCGCACGCCTCGCTCGCTAATGGCTACATCTGCAAAGACTGCTCTTTACACTCTCAGGAGATGGACTCACTTATCACGCGGTCGTCGCCGTCGTCGTCATCTCAGTCTGCAGAAGATTTCACTGACAACCCCTCCTCCTCGTCTTTAACCTTCACAAGTATATACTCCAGAGACAGGAGTCGGAGGAACAAGACAGGTGAGAAGCTGTGGAGCTGAACTGTGTGTCCATATCTTAATTCAGCTGTGACGATGAGAATGTAATTGATGGTGGTGTCTCTTTCCAGGTGTCCTGATGTCTGTGTCTAACACGTGTATACGCTACAGCAAACGAGTCCTGGCCCCCATCGTGTCCGTAGTCACCCTACTCTTCAACAATGTGCTCTGGCTGGGCTCGAAGGCCAGGAGCCCTCCAGGAAAAGGTACACAAGAAGAGACGTTCTTTGCTCTTCGCCCATGTCATTCTCTTTTTTTCTTCTTCTGTCGTTCGCAGTGGCAGTTTTTTTTTCTTTTACTCAGATTTGAATAATTCTGGATAAGGGAAAGCTGACTCATTTTTGGCTCCTCTTTGTTTTTTGCTGATAATTTGGAATCCTCCTCTCTCTGGTTTCAACCTTAACAGGCTTTCTTTCACCTCTGTCCATTTGATGGTTTGTTGGTTGGCTGGTCGGTTGTTTTTAAGAAAGAGTACTCTAAATCAACTGGATGGATTCCCTGAAAACTTGGTGTAAGGGTGCAGTTTGTGTCAGGGAAGAACGCATTCGATTCTACTGCTGAAATTAAGGATTTGTTTCACATTTTCTAACATCAGGCAAGGCATAGTTTTGCCAGGGAATAATTCATGGATCTTGATAAGAGAAATAAGCACATTGACTGCATGAATTTAAGGGGACTGTTGGGCCTTGGTTGGAGGTATGCGCTCCATTAAGTGCCATTGTAGTTCTTAATGTTTCTGATCGAGGCTTCGTCTGTTCTATTTCACGTCACCTTATCTTTCCTGTAGTCGGGCTATCCATGGCTTTTTCAGTGGGTGTTTCTATCATCTTCTCTTCCCCGTCATCTTATCTGCTGATCTTTGTGTCTCAAGCGATGCCTCAAGTGTGCATTTTGACTAACAGCAAGTGTGGACGGATGTGTCACCAGGTGTGCTTGCTTCGTTGTCGGCCTCAATGAGACGAGCAGTGTCCTCCAGTGTGACCCAGCTGTGGCTGTTTAAGCAGAACACTCTCCACAGGATGATGGGCTACAGAGCTAATGGCTATGAAGGACAAGGTACCAGCTGTTATTACAAGGGACAAAGGTCAAGGGTCGCAGCTCCTGACCTCGTCTGCTGCTCTTATATTAATGAACCTCCTTGTGAACATTTCTCTCCTGCTTTTTTGCTCTTGTGTTTTTGCAATAAGAAGAAAGGAGTCTCATATTTGGATAAAAGTAAATGCAGAATTATGCAAATGCAAATTATCTTTATACGTATGAATGAAATTAAAACCACACAACCCCCAAAACCACATTTTTTTGGATGAAACTGTCACATGATCATTTGCATATATTTTGTGTGCGTCCTCGAGTTCATATGAGGTTATGAAGAGGACGATCACTCGAGCTGAACTAGAGAGACTAAACAAAATTCCAGTCTTGGCTAACATGCACCTCTCTCCCTGTACCACGCTGTTTGACAGCAGGTCAGTTTTATTTCCAGCATCCTGTTGATTTTATCTGGTCTTCTTTCTTAACTGCAGAAGAATTTTATAAACTAGCATGGGTTCCTCTGCTCTTCTGCTTGTTTCTGTTGTGTGTATCCAGTTAAGTGGTTTCGTGCCCCTCTTCTCATTTTCCTCCTAAAGACGGAGCTCCTCAGGTCACGGCGGTGGCCCGTGCGTTCACTCTCCCTCCGCAGACTACGCTCCTTTTGTCACCTTTTTCTCACACAATATGTTTTTTAGTTTAATGCGTTGTATGTACTGTATGTTGCAGCTCACACAAGTTTCTGTGGAAGCATGAATGTCAAGGATCTGGTGACTGAAGATGCTTCACATCTTAATCTCAATGGTTCCCTGTGTAAGCAGATGCACACAACAACAACACTCAACATCTCTCTTTCTTGTGGTAGCCATGATTGACAAGAGTTAATAGTATGCATGACCTGTGTGAGGACCAGCGAGCAGAGGTTGTGTGAACTGCTTTAACTAGTCAGCAGTGTGTTGACCCTCATGACCTGCAAATGCTTTTCTTCCTCTTAAATTTGTAGCCCAAATCTATTTCAAGGGACCAGTGTAGCACAGAAGCTTCAGTGGAAATCATTCCAAACATATAAAAGTGTGAAAAAAACATTTTGAATGAAAATCTACACAATAAATTGTCAGTGAAGTGGACAGTAAAAAAGCTTTTTAGTTCATGAGATGACCTTCATGTTAGAGTTCAATATTTTTTGTCCACACAGATTTAAATATTGAGGTCAGTAAAATATTTAAAGAGGAACAATAAAGGTGTTTATCAGTCATGACTGTAGCGATGAGGTCTTTTTTTTTATATCAAGCTCTTCATGGTGTGCCACCACACACATGCATGCACAAGCATTTTATTTTGTCATTATTTACTTATAGTTTGTTGTTTTATTCATTCCAGTTTTTTCTACTTCGATCATTTGCAGATTTTTTGTTTTTGTGTTGCCACTTCTGATGCGTTTACATGTTCATTTACACATCCTTTTGTTTTTTTGTGTTTTTTGCTTGTCATGCATTGTTTTGGCACACGCAGGTGATGACTGTAAAGGGAAGCAGTATACTGAGACACACACCATCCTCCTCAAACAGTCCTCCAGGCCTCGACGCCTTGTGGGGGCGCTGTGGAGCGTCTTAGCTTATGCAGGTTAACCACCACTTCTCTTGATGTTGCTGACAGTCTGTTAATATACTGTTGTAATCATAGGTTTAGTTCTGATAAGTTTCAAGCTCAGCCTTTTTTGTGGATATATGAACCACAAGTACTGCATTTAAATACATTTTCCTCCCTCTCATCTTGTCTTCCAGGTTACTGCCTCCTCCAGCCGGGATACTGTGTGGTGAGAGCGGGCAAAGCTTTGGGTTCAGGGGTCGGGACAGCGGCTCAAAAGTTGCTCTCACTGTTTTGGATGCTCCTGGCAGCTCCAGGTCTGCTACACAAAAATACATCTTCTGCTCTTTTCTTGTGCAACATGGTCATATCATGATCTCTTTCCCAGCCTAAATGTGTCTAAAAATGTTTTCAATCTGCCCAGAGAAGACAGGCCGGGGACTCGTGTGGTTTCTTGCAACAGGATGGTACCAGCTGGTGTCTATCATGTGTCTGCTCAACGTCTTCTTTCTGACACGGTAAGAATCCCTCGGCCGGTCGGACTGACTGTATTTATGCAAGTTATTTCAGATTGTGTATCAGTATATTTTGAAGTTGTTCAGCACATTTTAACAAGACTGTGTTAATACTGTTGTGTGTTAATCTGACCAGTGTGTGACTCTTTGTTTTAGATGCCTTCCCAAACTTTGGAAGCTCCTGCTGCTCCTCCTGCCTTTTTTGCTCTTCCTTGGTGAGTTTACAAGAACCCTCAATGCCCCTTTCATTTATCATAGGTGTAACAGTGTAGTGAGTGCATAGGGAGAAAAAGCAGCCTGCAGTGAGGCAGTAGATGTTATAACCAGCACACATCCCCAGAGCACGCTGCACATCCAGTATCAGATTCAGGTCAGGCCTTCTGGGCTTCTACTGAGTTACTCCATTCTGTGGTTCAGCCTTGCTCACAAGTACATGCAAGTACATAATGAAACAAACTTTGTTTACTATGTTGCTGTGATGGTCTCATCCATACGCACTACATCTGTTCCGTGTCTGCCAGTCCTAGGAGGGATCTGTCAGGGAGTTTTTCCTAACCTGATTTGAAAGTCTTCAGAGAGAGGGATGTAAGCTGTATAATTTATGATCCTGATTTCTATAAATGACATTTGGCCTGACTTGATTTTGACGTTGAACTAATCAACAATTTTATGCTCTTTCCCTGAATCACTTCGAAGATAAAATAATAGATGAAATAAGTTTTTATATTTCGTGTGACGAATATAGAAAATTCAGCATGTGCTTGCTCCTGTTGGTATTTCAGCTGTAATTATTTTTAAGGAAATATTTAAACCCAAGACGCCATATTTTTATAGCAGCAGTTTTACTGTGAATTAAATGTGTGGGCGGGCTGTGTCTCAGGAGGTGGAGAGGGTCATCCCCTAACAACAGGGTTGATGGTTTGATCCCGGCTCCTCCAGCATATGTTAATGCTGTACGAAAGACAAAACGAGCTATATAAATACAGTCCATTCACGATTTTTGCCATAGATATAAATATCTCTGATATCTTACATGTTCTTTCATACACATTTACAACCACATATCTTTTTCTGAAGGGTTTGAAGAAATCTGTATTTTGAGTTTATGATTAAGGGTTAACTTCCATTTTCTTCTGTCTATATGCAGCGTTATGGTGGTGGGGTCCGTCCACTTCTGCCCTACTTGCCTACCTCCCTGCTATAAACCTCACCGAGTGGCGACGTGCGTCTCCCTTGACTCTCCTGTCTAACTTGGTGCCAGTTTCTGCTCCAGCTCCCGCCCTTGTTCCCACACCAGAGACCCTGCTGCAGCAGACCCCAGCCTCCCCAGTCTCACAGGCAACAGTAAGATAATTCACAAACTACTATTATAAAGCAATGAATGAATGTGAATATAAATGACCACATACATAACCAGTGTCTTGCAGTTTGCAGCCTTTTCAACTGAAACATTTTAATTGACCATACTTACTACCTCTTTTTTACAAATGTATCCAAACATTCTTCAGAGTTAAATGCTATCTTATGTCTGGTGCAGTGCAGAGGTGTATTTGAGTCACAAAATTGTACTTTTCTTCCTCCATCATTTCCGGCCTTCTCCTCCTCTCTGTTTACTCCTTCATTCTGCTCCTCCTCTTCAGCCCATCCTTCCACCCGCGGCAGTCTCCTCTGTGGACCTGGAACGTCTTGAACGTGTGGAACGCCAGCTTGCTCTTCTGTGGTCACAAGTCCAGGAGGGGGACCAGAAGCAGGAACAGCGTCATGGGGATGTTCTGGGTCTCTATAGCACGCTGAGGGAGCACGTACACACTCAGACCAACAGGGAGAGCCTGGGACTGTGGGTGTCCTCCCTGCTGGAGCAGAGGCTGGGCATCCTGCGTGGAGAGCTGGAGCAGGAGAACACACACAGGGCGCAGGTGAAACAAGAAACTCTGTTGGACCTGAAACATTTGGGTTAAAAGAGGAAACATTTGCTCAAAAATATACATACATCTCACTCTTTTTCCTTTTTATCCCTGTTTCATGCAGAGTGAAGAGCAGCAGAAACAACAGCAAGAGAGTCGGGCAGCGCGACTGGCTGATTTGGAATTGCTGCTCCAAGCTCTGGCTGCACAGACTGAGGTATGAACAGCAGATTATCTCCTTTCCGCTAAGAAAACAGCTTGAAAACATACCTGTTGAATGACTCTGGAAATTTTTTTTAATTAATTTAATTATTGTGAGTTATTTTGTTGTTGTTTTAGTTTTAGTAAAGTACCAGTGGTACTGCTTTGGCACCTTTTCTGAATCATTTGAACAGCCCAAATGTAAATTCAAAGTAAAACCAAGTGGATGAAATGGAAAAGCACGGCTCATCTGGTTGTTTTTGGGGCTAATTTGTACAAAGAAACTACGAGATGCTGTATCAAACATCTCATGTAAAGTTTTGATCATCAAGGTAGACAGGACAAAACCGCTTTTCCCTCTTGCGACAATTTTGTAACTGTTATTATGGGTGTCAGAATTACGACATTTGTGTTTTCTTTGCTATCGTCTGCGATGCTTATCTGTGATGTGTTGTAGGAGGTGCAGCAGAAGCAGCAGCAGTTTGAGCACGAGAGGGAGGAAAAGGAGAAAGAGGTTGTCATTGCTGCAGCAGACACAGCACCTATCAGGTATTTACACCAAGAGAAATAAATTCACATTCTTTCCACTTTTTAAAAATATTTTGTAAAGCAACTTCTTCAAGACTACGACAGCTCACATGCAGATTCTGTCTTTCACTCAGCGTGGGAATAAAACAGGAGGACCATGATGCTCTGCTCGTGGAGGTGCAGAGACTTGAGTTGGAGTTGAGTAAAATAAGAGAGGACCTGCAGGGTGTTGTGGGATGCAAGGGCAGATGTGAGCAGCTAGACAACCTGCAGGAGACGGTAACTAACACAGATAATATCGACCTAGTCTGCCCCTTGCTCTGAAGATATTTCAGATTTACTGTTTCCTCTGAATTTCTTTCTTCCATTATGTCTGTTGATCTGTTTCCCAGATCACAGCCCAGGTGTCCTCTCAGGTGCGTAAGGAGTTGCAGCTTCTGTTCTTTGGCAGTGGTGGGTCAGGAGAGGAGCAGGGAGAGGTGCCAGAGTCTCTGATCTACTGGCTGTCCCAGCGCTACGTGAGCACACCGGACCTGCAGGCCTCACTGGCCACACTAGAACTGAACATCCTGAGAAACGTGTCGCTGCAGCTGGAGCTTAACCGAGCCGAGACCCTGGGCGAGGCAGAGTCTCAAGCCAAGACCATCGTCAAGACGGTAACTGGGAGTGTCCACCATGCTGTCTCTGCTGAGGGACTGAAAGAAGAGGTAATGAATGTGCACTTCCTACTGTCCACATCATCATCTGACTTAACCACATAATCTAAGAGGTGTTCTGTGAAAATATTGGTTTGCCGTGTGTTTGAGGCTGATATTTGTGTCATGGTCTCTACCTCAGCAAGTGAAGCTGATTGTCCAGAATGCTTTGAGGCTCTACTCCTATGATCGAACAGGCCTGGTGGACTACGCCCTGGAGTCTGGCGGTAAGAGAGAAATCTCACAAATATTTCACATTGATTCTGGACCTAGATAGTAGTGAACCCTGTAATGCTGAGGACACTGATAGGCAGACCAGACCCAGCATCTTGAGCTTCAGCACAACTCGCCTCATGTAAATCAGTGGGTGCAGGGTTTCCCTCATGGAACTGGTGGGAGGAGAATCGGTCCAAGTGATAATTATCACACTAACTTCTGATGTCTCACTCAGAAGTGCAGCAGCGTTTTTTCCCATCGCACATCAGCCCAAGAACGTGACTGATTATGTGTCTCTTCTTATCCAACTACAGTTCACCAGACTATCTCTGCTTGAGGCTAATAATTCATCAGCTGCTCCTACAGGAGCATAAAACAGCAGCATCGTGTGTGTGGTCCAGGTGTTACTCATGTTGTGGGGACCTGAATCTGTTTAATTTGAATTATTACATTTTAAGGTGTAGATATGTTTTAAGGTTAGGCGTGTGCGTGTGCGTGCGCGTGTGCAGGTGGCAGTATCCTCAGCACCCGCTGCTCTGAGACATATGAGACCAAGACGGCCCTCATGAGTCTGTTTGGACTGCCACTCTGGTACTTCTCCCAGTCTCCGCGTGTTGTCATCCAGGTGAGCCTCACTATGACTTTTCTGTTTTGCTGGTAATTCTTACTGTTTCATGATTGATGGGAACTAAAACTAACTAACCAAGCCAACTTGGTCACAGACATATGTAACTAATTTTGTCCCTTCACTTCTTCTCTTCAGCCTGATGTGTACCCAGGTAACTGCTGGGCATTTAAAGGCTCTCAGGGCTATCTGGTGATCCGACTGTCCCTGAGGATCCTGCCCAAGTCCTTCTGCCTGGAACACATCCCCAAAGCCTTGTCTCCAACTGGAAATATCACCAGCGCCCCTCGCAACTTCACTGTTTACGTAAGCAATCCTGACATGCAGCCTGACAGATGGACACTTTCTAATTCAAAGCAAGCACCAATGATTATTTTTTGTTCATATTCAGGGTCTAGATGATGAGCATCAGGAGGAAGGGAAGCTGCTGGGACTCTACACATACCAGGAGGATGGGGAATCACTGCAAACTTTCCCCATCATGGTAACTGTTGAAGCTCTTCCAAAACTATTAGCAACAAAATTGGGTTCAACATCTGTGACCTGAATCATTTCCACCTTTTTCCGTTTTCAGGAGCAGAACGACAAAGCCTTCCAGATCATCGAGGTGCGTGTGCTGTCTAACTGGGGTCACCCAGACTACACCTGCCTGTACCGCTTCAGAGTCCATGGAGAACCTCGGCCTCAGTGAACCAACCACTACCGTACACACTCATCATATATGACTTATCACCCGATCTGTACATAGCTTTTGCCAACTTCTTAAATATGGAGGGGACTTGGTGGTACTTTATGGCTGTTTTTGTATGAAAGCCATGAAAACACAAAGGTGGTGGGTTGACAGAGGAATGTGCCCAGACAGAATCACGAACATGTTTTTTGATACGGAAAGAATCACAGGAAAGTTTATGTGTGGATTGTAAATGTTGCAGAAGAGGAATAGAACCTTGGAAGAAGCTGAAAGTTCCAGTCCCCTTTTTGTAAAAGGCTTGTTGCACTGAATTAGCCTGCGAGGGCGCCAAGCTCCACTGAGCAGACAAATCCATCCCCCGCTTGGCACCTTCCACTTCTACAGGAGGGTGGATGCCTAAAATGGGGGAGTAGACTCATCTCCGCTCTTTCTTCATACACTGCATCTCTGTCTGGTTTGGTTTCTGTTGTTGATTATCTGGATTTAACTTTATTGTCCTGGTAGAGTCAGGATGCACCTTTTTCTGTGGCGCTGTCCAGGCACGTTACTCCCGTTACGTCTCAGCTGCAACTTTAACTGAGCGGTGTGGACGGCCTGCTGGACTGCACCACACTCACTGTGGGTTTATACTGGATATACTAGGTTCACAACATTCAAGTTTGGCGTCACATCCACATAATTAAGATTTTCTCTTCCTTTTTTTGGAACTGAACATGCTGCCTATGGAAAAGCTCTGAATGTTTTGTGGAGACTTGATGCAAGTCGTCCTTTAACTATACAGCAACACTATATTTGACCTCTGACCTGCGCTCTGTGTCGGGAATATTAAGAGGCTCTACACTATGTACATTTGTCAGAATATGTGAATGGTAATGGTTGGACTCCAGGATTGATGCTAGCATGTGACTCTTTCAGAACCATACTGTTAAACTTTTACATGCATCATGGATTTACATTATAGAGTGTGTCCTCTCCCAAAGTTTGAGTCTTGTGCCTGGACCTCAAATTACAAAATCAATGTTGAAACCTAAATAATGTAACTTCTCCTGTAGACAAGTGTGATTTTTCTTTTCTGTTTCTATCCTAAGGAGAGACTGTCCCTCGAGCTCAGTTCTAAACGTCCTCCTCACACGGGCTCCCTTTATTCTGAAACCCTGAAGGAATGTAATCTGTATATTTTATTGTTGATAGTTGGTCCTTTATATCTGCTTTTATCAGTGTTGCTTTATGAGAAATCATTCTGTCATTATCATTATTGTATTACTATTATTTCTACTGTTACTCATTGTGTTGTTTTCCTTTTTTTTGTTGTTTGTTTTTTTTTGGGGGGGGGTGTGTGTAGTCACCACTTTTGGTCGCAAACATGGTGAACTCTAAAAACGTATGTATAAAAATGTTTTCTTCACAATCTTATTTATTAACAAATCAATTAGTTCCTGCAATATATGATTTACTGCGATGTATATTTTGTGAAAAGCTATTCAGTGCATTTTTGAACCATCATGGGACTTTTCTTTTCTTTTTTTCTTTTTTTTTTTTTTTC